TTTTAGCGTGATGACACTGAACCAGGTTGCATCAGTTCAGTGCCTCTTGACTCATGCTCATCTCTGTTAAGTCTGTCTGAAGATGGGGGTAGATGTTTAATTCAGTTTGTTCATTACCATAAAAACAGGCGGGCTGCAAGTTACAACTGGATCCACTTACTCAATAACAGGACTTTCCTAGTAACTCCTTTGTTCCTGTAACTGCTAGCATTTACCTTGGGAAAAGAAGGTGCCAGCTATCCAAAGGTCATTGGTCAAAAGAAATCCATCACTGAAAAAAAAAGTGATCTTTTTATTATATTTGGAAGATGGATTTCTTTTCTTTTTCTGCAATTTCTACCCAGCATCTCTCCACATTAATTTTCATTTATAAATTCAAATCCTATGGAATATAGAAAAGAGACAGTGCTCCATTGGTCCACCAGCAACACACCTTTTTTTTTTTTTTTGTTTGTTTTAATTTTAATTCTGTTCTTGCCCTGACTACCCCATCTCCTCCAGCTAGAAAGTACCTAGTGAGACACAGCGCTGTTGCTTGACATGTCAGCCCTTTTTCCCTATGGAAAGAGTCATGTAAAATCATCATGTGATGCCTGCTACAATCAGAAGGAGCAAAGGAAATACCAGGGCAGAAGCTGCCTTTACAAGTAGGAAATAATACCCCGTGGTCATATGACATAGTCCTGGAATTAGTGACCCATCAAGTGCAAGTCCCTGTAGCAGCTGCATTTTAGTCTGACAAATGGCATTGTGTAAAAACTCTGAATGTTTTCTTGAACAAATCTAGTCAGAATATAGTTTGTCCTGCCCAGATATATTTGTTTGAATGCCTTTTTAAAGGCTTTTTCAAGGCAAGGTTGGATGGAGCTCTGAGCAACCTACTCTAGTGAAAGGTGTCCTTGCCCATGGCAGAGAGGTTGGAACAAGATGACCTTTAAGGTCTCTTCAAACCCAAACCATTCTGTGATTCTCTGATTAAAAAGTACATCATTGGCTTAAAGACATGTGTAGGCTATTTTTGGAATACTCTGAAATTTCAGAAATACAAGAAAAGGCTACAAGAAATACAACAAGCCTACAAGAACCCTTATAGTACTAAGGCTGATTATAATACATCAAAGCATTGGGCTGGATTTATAAATCCCTGGATGCTTGAATCTCACCTGTAATATAGTTTGGTTCTTTTAAGGTAAGTACTGTTTTTTAAAGGGTTTGGGGGAAGGCTCATTCCTTTTAAAATTTTTTTTAATATATGTATATATAATTACTACAAAATAAATATACAAAAATAAAGTAATAATCAAGTCATACTCTTTGTAATAAAACAGAAATGCTGACGTCAGTCCTGTACCTTCCCATGACACATCTACTTTATGGTACAGCTCAATATTTAACTGTGGTTAAAACTGCTTCAGTGAGGGCTCACATTTAAGTGTTTTAATGTTTGTTTTTCCCAGTCATGAAGAAAAACTCAAATGGTTTCTTGTTTAAAGTGAGGGGATTTTTGTTGATTGGGTGTTTTCTGGAATTCCTCCTAAAATTAGTTTCTCTTTGGGTCTGAGAGAAAGGCTTATAATCTATTTGCACAGCTTTTCCTGGGGAGAATTTTGAGTGAGTATAGGTAAAAAAAAAATGGTTACTTTTCTTCTCTAATGGAGAGTTAACATCAGATTTGGCCTGTATCAATTTTCTACCTGAGACATCTCTCAGTGTTTCCAATGTGCATACTTTCCACTTGATCTAGATCTTCTGTCCTCATGCACTTTCCAGTGTTGCAGCCATGCTCAAGCTGAACTCAAGGCCCTCTCCTTAAGACCCCCTCACTTTGCTTCTAAAGAAGCTTTAAATACAAGAAAAACTCAATCTAAGGCATCTTAGTCTTGTAGCACATCTTGCTTTGTTATGTTTGCACTGACACGCACAGGGCAACTTGACTGAGATGTTTGCAGTCTGTTTCTGCAATAGAGGTGCTATAAATAAATAAAACCCATCTTGCCAAATTGCCTAATGGAACACATTTTTCTGTGGGGTGGTGGGGTTTTGTAAGAATTCTTCATTTGTTGTTCAGGCCTTCAGAAATGACGATGCTGGCTTCTGAAGTCATGACATCTGGCACATAAACTCCATTTGGCACATAAACATCTTTGTGGTCATGTTCGTTTGCTTTCCGCTGTGGGGATTTGGGGTTTTTATGTGCCAGCTTCTGGTTGTATCTGAAAGGATAGAGATTTCTAATATTATCCTCAATTTAGAGCTGAATCAGGGCTTTTGAATACTGTAAAAAAAATATTTTTGTCCCCTAAACACCAAGGGAGATGCTGTCCTGGACACTGATCCTTCTTGGCAGCTGAAGAGTGCACAGGGAAAAGGAAGAGAGGAGCTGTTTTGGCAGCCTGTGCTGGTTATTCTGCTGGATGCCCTCTTCTCCAGAGCAGTCAGCACAGACCATGGGCAGGTGGCACCAGTAACCAGTACTTGGCTTTCTTTTTATTGTATTTTTTATTCTTATTATTCAGCCCAGACTTCAAGGAGCTAATTTCCTTAACAGCTGAGATAAAATCAGGTTGATAATGCAGAATTGCTGCTTACTCCCTATTACAACACAGCCTTTCCTTCTACTTCTTACCTGTTGTTTTAAACTTAAAAGGGAGGTTTGCATCCTAGACATCTTTATAGTATTTAGGGCAATAGGATTCTGCTTTACACTATGGAACTGATGTACCAGCCTTCATTTTTGCCATGCATACATAGTGCTGTATAAGTATCCAACAGAAAAGTATAAAATACCACTCTATCCCCAAGTTTAACATTGTTTAAAGCTGTGTTTGGCAAGTAGAGCTGAGACATTTCTTTGTATCCAAGAGTAGCTGGACAAGTAGAGGGCAGAAGCCAAATATGTCTTTCCGGGCTACGTAACCCTGGGTGTGGTTAAAAGATGAATTAACCACTTTTAAATCCCTGTTGGTGCCAAAAAGGATATCATTCCCAGCCCTGTGTTGCTGTCTTCTCCCCAGCAGGTTAGCACTGCTCCCCTCCCCATGCAGCCAGCTGGGTTGGAACCTCATCCTGCTGAATACCTTTTTAGGAGGGTTCATTCTTAGGTGCTTCATGATGTGGCCAGGGGAGTAGTGCCAAGAGAGACACAGGCAGCAGGAACAAGAGAGAATGGGAACTACGGCCCCTTTGGGTGGCAGCTTCATCTGAAACTCATCCAGTCTGCCTTTGAGCAAAACTGTCTGTGGGTGGATATTCATAGGTAAAGACAAGGAAAAGAAAAAATGAGTGTGCCAAAGATGGTTCCCTATTTGGAAAGCATCCTGATCTGGGTTTGTTTTTCTGTACCATTAAAAGGTGACATGCAGGTCTCCAAGCTACATTTTAGCCTCTGCAAGGGTGAGAGTATAAAGGTTGTATGTGAATCTGTCCAGCTGTGCTGACCATCAGCAAGGATTTTTGTTCAATGTATGTGGATCTGTGCAGCTGTGCTGACCATCAGAAATTATTTTTGTTAGTGTATGTGGATCTGTGCAGCTGTGCTGACCATCAGCAAGGATTTTTGTTCAATGTATGTGGATCTGTGCAGCTGTGCTGACCATCAGAAATTATTTTTGTTAGTGTATGTGGATCTGTGCAGCTGTGCTGACCATCAGCAATGATTTTTGTTCAATGTATATGGATCTGTGCAGATGTGCTGACCATCAGAAATTATTTTTGTCAGTGTATGTGGATCTGTGCAGCTGTGCTGACCATCAGCAATGATTTTTGTTCAATGTACATGAATTTGTGCAGATGTGCTGACCCTCCAAGCCTTTAACGCCAGCCCAGGAAGAGATGGAGGGGAGGTGACAGAGGGAGGTGGAGGTTTTACTCACCTTTGATGATATTGGAAAAAACCACAATAGTTCTCTGTGTTGCAATGTGCTTGGCATTGGTTTCTTTGTAGTTCTAATCTGAGAGCAAAAATAGTGCAGATACTTGCTTGTTTTGGCTGACTGGGCAGATTAAAATCTCTTTTGTCTTTTCCATGGGACTTTCCTAAAGGAAGTAACACAGTCTCTGCAGACAAAGCATTCTTTACAAGGTGTAAAACAAGCAGGGAAATTCTGGTTCAAGTGGCCACAGTCACTGATTCATAGCAGGGCTGGGTTTGGGGATCCCCTGGCACTCTGCAAGAGATGTGTGGCTGTTTCCTCATCAATTCCTGGAGTTTTAGGCTCTCTAAACCAGCCAGTTAGGGAACTTTAAGCAAAGGTATGTTTTCCAAAGTCTTACATCAGTTTTCTCATTATGCTGGCAAAGTTTTCCTCATTTTGCCAATGAAAGTACACAAGGAACACCAAATAATTCTATGACTTTTAGCATTCACATCTGCAGAAATACTGCTTGTTTCTACCAGCCAGCATCATGGAACAGACACCAGTGCCAATTACTCAGTCTTTAACTTGCTCTCTTTCCCCATATCCTTTAAGTTTGCAAATTGCCTGCTTTGTGCATTGCAGTGGCACTCAGAATAGAGATATTACCACTTGCTGGAACTGGGAGAAGGATCTCATTCCTGATTCTAGCCAAAGCTCACATAATTTAATCGAGGCAATATTTCTTTTAGAAGCATCAGTTCTAACGGGGCTTTGGCTCTGCTCCTTGAGCAGTGCTGTAATCTGCTTGCAAGTCAAATATCTCAGCTATGAGGTATTTACTGTGTGGCTGTCAAACATGCTATAAACTTTGAGCTCTTACAACTAATCAGCATTGTACCAATGCCCTGTGTGCAAAAATAGCTGCTTTGGGCCCTTGATATAAAAAAAATACTAATAAATCATTTTTAAATCCATTAAAGCCTTTGGTTCCATCAAAGTGTGATATTCTACAATTTTGCTGTTCCTGGTTTTCTCTGTATACATCAAAACCAATGGCTTAGCGTGTTTTTTGTTTTTTTTTTTCATTTTTACTGTACAGGTTCCTGTGAAATTATGCTGCCTTTTTTTTTTTTTTCTTTGTAGGTAACAGAGACTTTGCTCCTGATGATCCGCTGGAATTTAAGTCTCATCAGTGGTTTGGAGCCTCTGTGAGATCCCAAAATGATAAAATTCTGGTAGGTCATTGGTGTCCTCCAGATGCATCAGTACTGAGATATTGCAGTGGAAAAAAATGTGAAGAGATCCAGATAACTTAGAATTTAAAGAAAATCCCACTAACCAGCATGAATTGTCTTTTCTTCAGAATTTCTCAGCTAGGCTTTGCTTAACTCATTATAAACGAAGCTAGGACTATTTTTTATAGTTTTAAGGAAAGTAGTAAAATTAGTTTGATGAAGTTAGAATGTGTTATAAATTCTTGATAAACACTTCACAACTGTTGCTTTAAGAAAATATTATTTCTAAAATTCTTGATATAAATTGGCTACTTATAAAATACAAACTGATGGTAATTCTTCCCCACTGCTGATAGCATAAATATCCTCTAATAACACAAGATACATCTGCTAGGGTTTTTTGTTTCTTTTCTGTAGAAAATTGGAATTTCATTGTATTATTTGATACCCACCAATATTTTGAAGAGGAGTTTGTTTCCTCACTGTTGTGTGTTCTTCCCTAGGCCTGTGCCCCACTGTACCACTGGAGAACTGAAACAAAACAAGAGAGAGAGCCTGTAGGAACTTGTTACCTGCTTGCTGGGTCAAAATTTGTGGAATATGCTCCCTGCAGGTCAAGTAAGTATAGGACTCTTACATTGCTTTTCTCTTTGGAATTCCTCTTGTGTTACATTTTGTGTACATTTTGGAGCAGGATGTTTTACAGCTATTTCTCCCTTCCATGTGCAGCAATTAGAACAAAACTTAGAAACTAGATCCAGACATCTGAATTCTCCTGCAGTTGGGGTCCATGATGCAGACCTTGTTTTCACTACTGTAGGCCAGAGGAAAATCTTAGGTCCAAGTATCATTGGGCTTGAGGGCTTCTGTTGCTGAAGGGACCAATTCTGTAGTAATCACTCAAGCAAAATTCTGTAGCAAGTGCTTTTTCAAAAAACAACCCTGGAATTCTTGTGAGTCTCAAGTACTTTATCATAATTCAAGTACATCAAGGTGCAAGCTCATTTTAGAAGACATGGTTTTGCAAAAATAGGTTCTGATGTCCCTGTGTGCATACATGTGTAGTGATGCATTGTTTAAATTATATTAACTGTTGAACAGTTGGAGTCTTATTTTCCAAATGCTTTGCATTTATTTCCTCTATTTGGGCTTGATTATTTAGAAATTTATAACCTAAAACTTGGATGTTGAAGTTAGGATTGACTTTTTATTTGCTGAAAATAATTTGTGAACATCAGCAATAAAATCCAGCCTGGTCCACCATAACAAGAAGTTAAATAAGCAAGCATTAAATTAAATCATGCTTGTTACAGAGTCACACTTTCAGATAAGGAGCTCCCAGCATTTCTCCTCTGAAGCTGTATAATCCTAAAATTGATTCAGCCATAACAATTCTTGCTGGGATGAGTCTCAGTATGGAGATATTTTTTCAGCCAGGTATGTTCTTTTTGTTTTAAGCCAATTCAGCTTTCTTTTCCATACCCAAAGCAAAACTTATCCCCTCTTTTCTAGGTATCTTATTTCCTGAATAGAAATTGCAAATATGTTTTCCTCAAGACTTTTGAAAGGAATATGGGATTGCTGTTTGCTTTGAGTGTGCTGGGCTAGAACACATGCTAATGTTACATGTCTGTTAGGCCAGCCCTAAAGTTGTTACAGCATTTGGTTGGGAGTTGTTGTTAAAGAGAAAATACTGATTAAGTAGAAAAGTATTCCAAGGTTCAAGTTTAGAAGTGCAAGTTCTTGGGAGATGCATTGAAAAGTATCTGCAGTACTTGTGCTGATGGAGTACTGACAATACTTAATTTATTTATTTTTCTCCTCTTTCTTTTCTGTCCTTTCTTTCTTTGGTAGCAACTATCGATGCAGATGGACAGGGATTTTGTCAAGGTGGATTTAGCATTGACTTCACAAAGGTATGTCATTTTTTTGTCATTTCTGTGGGTCAGCAGACAGCTGAAAGTTAGCAAACCCTCCTGCTACAGAGCACTTAGAATCACAGCTATCATGAAACCAAATGTCACTCTTCCTGGTGGGGAGCTAACCCACAACCAAACAAAATTTATAAATAAACCAAAAAATATCTTGAAACCACTTAAAGAAAGAGCTTTTATAAACCTGTTTTTCCTTACATCTTCACAGCAGCTCACTTTCACCTCTTGTAGGAACCATGTCCTGAACAAACAATCTGCTTTCCCAGCTGCCTGCCATACCCCTCTGCTGCAGCTGGTCCTCAAGTGAATTCAGTGTGATAGTCAGGGTTTTTGAGACATGGGATTGGTGCACAGCTATTGTTACTTCTTCAGGAATAACAGCTCAGGGAGCTGGTGAACAATGTGCTTGTGAATCATGTTTGATTTTCTCATCAGCCAGCAGAAGTACAGGGGTTTTTTACTGACTTGTGTTTCTTCTGTATTTCCCCTGCCTGTTCTAGTTATTTATTTTTTTTTTTCAAATTCACAATTACTTTTGAAATCCAAGCACAATAAAACTGTGCACAGATCTGAGACGATACTATGGTGTTTTATATTGTACAGTGAAATTGTTGGGCAGAGTCAGGGCGTGCTAAGACCACACAAGCCCAGTTTGTGATGTGCTCTTTTTTTGGGTTCTCACATCTCAGGATGAGGTCATATCCCATCACTCTTTGCCCAGGGCCACTCTTGGTTTTCCTCCAGAGGAAACTGCCAAGTGCAGGAGAGGGCTGTGAGTGTTTGGGTTATTTTGCACACAGCCTCAGGGTCACTGTGCAGATTCCAGGCCTGGTTAAAACCAACTTTGGGCTCTAATCCAAAACCTTGGAGTGGGCAAGCCAGGATGTATCTCCAAATGTCTGACCTAGATTTTTCTGAGTGGTGAATATAGGAGTTTTTAGGATTAAAACCTGAATAAGAGGCTTAATTATGCAGCAAAGCCTATGGCCTAATTCAATACTTACAGAGCAAATTCCCAGCCCTGGAATGGCTAATGTGGTTAAAGTTTCATAAAATGGTTTGTGAATTGCAGTTGTGCCAAGAAATATGGAGTGGGGGAATTACATCACAGTTATTCTGAATCAAGCTTTTCTAGTGATAACTTACAGAAAATGGCAGAGGCAAAAGATGGCACTATTTTGTGTACTCTCCCCAAAACATGATGTAACACTCTGAGTTTTCTCCTAATTGTGTTCCTGTTGCCATACATTTATGGGGAAGAAGGGTCTATTAAAATAAAAACAGAATTCTGCTTAGAATTCTAAATGTAAGAAATAGTCACTGAAGGTTTTTGTTAGCATTTTGCAAGATGCATTTCTAATTAATCACTCCTTCAAAAAGGAAAATGTGTGGTGGTCAGCAGAGCTGCAGTGATGCACATGCCTGGGATTTCTTCCCACAAACATAGGATGTGCTGTCTGGCTTTAGATGTGCTTCATGTGTTTTTAATTTTTCTTTCTGTCTTCCTTTTTTTCTTCCCTTCCAAGGGAGACAGGGTGCTGCTTGGTGGACCTGGAAGTTTTTACTGGCAAGGTGAGATACATCATTTAAGTCACAGAGAAGATGACCTTTATGATTTTTCTCTTTATCCTCATTTTGATCCACAGTCTTCCAGCTGCTGTCAGAGTCTTTGTCAGTAAGAAAACTGACAGAAATATTCCTTTGTCCTTAAGAATATTTCCTGAATAATCAAGGCAACCAGAGATAATGGTTGTAGTAATAGTAATAATAACATAGATGTCCTTTATGTTTTAAGTAATTCCATGATCCTTATAAAGGCATTTTCCTGGAACCTCAGATTTGTTTTCATCAGCAGGAAAAGTTTCCTTTAGCATATTTTGCTTTGCTATGTGCATGTTTCATAATTTGACACACAAAGAGTACATTTTCAATGAGAAATATCCCCTCTAAAGAGAATTTCATTGCTTTCCTCAGATGGCAAAGATGTTTTGCATTTGTCTTAACTGGTTTGTGCTGTGGGGCACATTTTACCTCTACCTGGCATTACCTGTATACTTTGCTCTTGTGGGATTCAGGATTATTCAGCCTTTAACTGCAGCTCCCTGGTGCTGCTGTAATCAGGACACAGCTGCCAAACTCTGCTGCCTGCTTTTTAATGGAACTTCTAACATTTATTAATAGATTTTCTGTATCATGCCAGCCTACATGTAGGTGCAGCAGCACAGGAGGCTTGCTCCAGTCCTGTGTTTTAAATTACAAACAAAATTTAATGATTAAAGCTAAACTGCAGATGCAGTATCATATGAATTAGTTTTCTGTATTAATTTTACTGCTTTTTGGCAAAAGTGACACTCCTTCTGCCAAAACAACCTCATCCTCTTCTACTACTACCAAAAAAACCCACTTGGCTCTGAATAGAAGACAATAGTATGCTTCTGAGAGCAAGATTTTTCATCCTAAAATTTATTCCACATATGCTGAGTTGCTGGAGGAGTTTTCCCATCATACAGACATGAATATGTATGTGAAGTAAGTGCCATTCTGAATAGGGTTTTTTGGTGAACCAAGCTTTCATTTAGACTCGAAGAAAAGAATGTAAAGGAGTCACCACCTAGTGGCTGAGAAAGTAAAAATGGAGAACATGGCAATACACCTTGCTCATCTCATTTTTGTTCATTTTATTGGCTTCTTGTCTGCAAAAACAGGCTCTCCTGTTGTGGTATTTGAGCAAGGAGCACCCAGAGAGCTCAGTTCTTCACAATCATGATGTCTCAGCCCTGCCTTTTAAGTCTTGCCTTAGTTTGGCCTCTGCAGTGTGTGCCTTTGATTCAATATGTGAACAAGCTTTTGCTGGAGTGGGATCCATATTTTCACTTGTGTCCTTCCTGGCTCTGCTGCAGTTGGCCCCTCTCTGGTCGGTGTTGTGGAAGAGCTGCTGCTTTTGAGGGCAGTGAGTTCTGGCTGTGGTTTTCAGCTCTTTTCTCTCTCTTTAGGCCAGCTGATTTCTGATCGAGTGACAGAGATTGTGGCAAAGTATGACTCCAAAGTCTACAGCACCAAGTATGATGACCAGCTAGCAACCAGGCCTGCCAGTGCTGCTTTTGATGACAGCTACTTGGGTACGTGGTGGGAAAGGAGAAACCTCCGCCTGCAACACTCCTGCTTGCATCTAAATCACACATCTAACAATTCCACATCTAGCAGATAGCAAGGGAGTGACATTCCTGAAAATGCACTCATTTATGGATGATGGAATTGTAGTTATTTTGCCATGGGCTTGATTCAAAAAGCACCCGGTGACAAAATAAATGGAAGTATTTTCATGATTTTATGTGCTCTGTGATTCAGGCTGAATATGGGAATGGCAAATGTATGATTTTTATATGAGAGGTTAGTCACATAGGTAGTTGTTTGTTATTTAAAAGCAGCTGTTTCTAAATAACCTACCAAAACAAAATAAAAATGTTAAAGAATTATGATTTAGAAGAAAAACAATGAGGAGTGGGAAATAATTTTGCTTCATGTATGTCTAACCAGGCTCAGAAAAAAAGCAAGGACAATTCCCAGGATGATAATTTTAAAATTTTCATCTTCTGATCTTAAATTCCTGGACACTGATGAGTTACAACCACTCCTGGAGTTTTTCATAGTCTAAGCTGCTTCAAGGCAATATTTATACCAGTGCATTTTAAGATGAGGAGAGGAGGACTGTGCACAGAGACACAATGTAAAGAGAGAATGAAAGGTTCAATAAGGTTTTTAAAGCCTCATCTTGTCTCTGCAGGTTATTCAGTGGCTGTTGGAGACTTCAATGGTGATGGCATTGAAGGTAAGCCCCTTGCTTCAGTAAGAACATCATGTTAATAAGCTGGGCAGATCTTTCAAATCAATGGTACAGTGCAGAGGGAAATGCATCAAGTGCTAGGAATAATCTGTTCTGTTCAGCAGACACTGTGCCTTGAGATCTGACTGCTATCTGTGTCTTGCTTTATGTTTCAGACTTTGTGTCAGGAGTCCCACGGGCAGCAAGAACTCTGGGCATGGTAAAAAATTAAACTTTACAATACAACATTAAACTTTACAATAAATAAAAAAAAGGTGACTATTGCTGGTATGCTGTAATGTGTATTTCTTCATGTGCAGGTGTCCATTTACAATGGGAAAAACATGTCCTCCATGTACAACTTCACTGGAGAGCAGGTGGGTGGCTCTGCTGAGTGTGGTGGGTGACCAGGAAGCCTTTCCTATGTTGCAAGACTATTTAGGGTACTAGATAATAGTCTGTATATTACTGGCTTGATTGCCAAAGCAACATTTTATGAAGCCTGTGGGAATTCTAATCTTATTTCAATAAAGCAAATGCTGCCTGTTTTGAGAGCTGGGAAAGAGACTGGATCATGAAAGGGTAAATGGGAAAAGTAGCCAATGGGTTTGCTTTCTATCAGAGTATGGAAAAGAAACAAAAAAGAAAGGAACAAATAAAATCTGTGGCATATATTATCATCTCCCTGATATATTTTGTATACAGATTTGTGTAAAGTTGTTTGTTTGTATCATTACAACTCATAGATTTGGTTTGAATTTTCTTTTCCAGATGGCTGCCTATTTTGGGTACTCAGTGGCTGCCACAGATATCGACGGGGACAAGTAAGTGTCCTCTTCTCCCTCTTCTCACCAATGCCACCCAACTTGTTTCTGCAAAGAAAAAAATAGCTTTTATTAAAAAGTCTTTCCCACAATCAAGATTTCTCTTTTCATTGCTGGTTTAACACATCTGCACGACTCTTTTTCTACCACTCCACATTTGTTTTAACGTTTGTAGGTTTGCTTTTGTATTTATCTACATAAATACATATATTCACATGCTTAAGGTCCATTAAATTTTTGTATATTTGTGCATACTTGGTCAATAAATATTTGCCTTCTGTTGTATTTAAAGATAATTAGCTTTCATCTGAGTGTTATCTTCAGTGCTGAGCTAACGGGTGCTGAAGAGAATGAATTTTCCTGCTGCTACTGAAGAGCTCTGTCCTTTTTGGTCCAGTTACACAGATCTGTTTATTGGAGCCCCTCTTTTTATGGATCGAAGTTCAGATGGGAAGCTTCAGGAGGTTGGCCAAGTAACCATCTGCCTTCAGCGAGCCTCTGGAGGGTTTCAGACAGCCAAGCTGAACGGCTTTGAGATCTTTGCGCGGTTCGGCAGCTCCATCGCACCCCTGGGGGATCTGGATCAGGATGGCTTCAATGGTAGGATGTGGATTCTTGGTCAGGATCCTCTGGTTGTGGAGGGTGATGCCTCAGGTTTTAGCTTTTGTATTTTTCAGATTCTGTGCTGCTTTAGTGTGTAGTGTGAGCTTCATATTAGGGGATGGTGAGCTCTCCTCACAGAGTGGGGAGAAAAAACAATTCCTTCTCTAGCTGGGGACCAAGGACAAATGATCCAAATCTCAGGCCCAAGAGCACAAACAACATGGGCTGAAGAGAGAAAAACAAGAAGCATGGGGCTTTATGAGCTAAAGCTGTAATTGGACAATTAACTCCAATATGCAAATGGAGCAAACTTATAAAAGTGAGAGACCCTGTGACCTGCTGTGCATTTTGTGACCATTTTGAGTTCACCTTGGCTGTAGCCCTGGCTGGGCTCTTGTGCTACCCAAGGTGTATCCATTGAGGCCTCCTACTTCATTCTTTAGCTCAGTCTAGCCTGTGTTCTAGGTCAGCCTGCACAAGGCATCCAGGGAGCCCAGCCAGCAGAGGGAATGTGGATCCTGCACACAAACACTCGGCGCTGTAGCCGTGAGCGAGTGTGGGACGCTGAGGTCTAGACTCCCTTCGATGCTTGTATGCTACTCCCAGGAATGCTAACAGGAGTTCCATGGATGCATCGAGCTGAGACTATACCACTGACACGACAGCATGGACTGCTCTAACTCTTACACTGACCACCTGATTGCTTTCTAGGCCATGACCACAATAGGAACTTCAATAAAATACCTGACCCTCCACAGTGACCTGTTAGGACATCTATAGCAGATATATTTACCCCCGACGAGGGAGGAATGATGAGGAGGACTCCACTGATATCAGAAAGCTAATTGATTGCTTGATTATACTATATTATTCTATATTATATTACACTATATTACATTACATCTAAACTGGATCTGCCAAGCACTCAACTCTGCACACAACTGCACAGAATCTCAGCTGACAGTCCTGACACACACACACTCTTGGCCCTGATAGGCCAAGGAAACAAAATACCATCACTTTGGGTAAACAATCTTCATATTGCATTCTACTTTGGCACAGAAACAGGCACAGCAAATAACATAAGAATTGTTTCTTCTTTCTCTGAGGTTCCTCGCTGTGATTCCCAGAAAATATCCTTGGGAAGTCGTGCCTTGCTTTTCTCTGTGAAGAGAAATGCGGCCACAGACATCTTCATAATTTTCCTCTTTCCATTGTTTAAAGACCATTTTCCTCTCTAGAAACACAATGATGACAGAAAAGAAAGTTTGATTTCAGATTGCTGGTTAAAAATGTTCATATAAAAAAGATTTTCCAGAGAAAAGAGTAGGGTTTGGTTTATTAATTTATTATTCAAAATGGGAGAGTTTGGTGGAAATACTGCATAGCAGCTACAGCCAAATGTACCAAGAACTGAGTGTCTTGAGTGAGAAACTGGGAGAGAAACTTGAGTCTGACACAACTGGAGCTGACACTCTCAAACCCCTTGCCTAAGCTTCTTGTTACTTTCTGATAGAAATCAAAACCAATAAAGCTGACAAGAATCACATAGTGTTGGGATGGAGATTTCCAGGAATCCTAGGGAGAACACTTTTTAATGCCCATTATACTCAAGTTTTTCCTAAAGAGTTGTGGGAATTTGGGTTCCACCAAAAATCTTCATTTTTTCCATCCTGCTTGCAAGCTAAGTGTTTTCTGTAAGATCAAAAATTACAATAGATGTTTACTTCAAATTCCCAGGTAGCTCTAATTTATTTTTGATGAAGTCATAATTTCCCAGCATAGTTGAAATTGGAAGGGACCTTTTTAGTTGCTAACTGGATGTAGAATCAGTGTGAAGATGCAATGTCACTGCAGTTATTTACAGAAGACATTGGAGAGCTGACAGCCAAAATTCCAGTCACTTGATGAGCTTATCCTAAACATTTTTTGATTCCACTATACTTACATTTGAAATACATTGTAGGAAAGAGAATCATAGCAAAAGCTGCCTCTTTAAAATTGCTTTGCTCTTATTTAGTCTGTTTGCTTTGGGTCTTATTGTTCTGCCTCATTTTGGGAGTGTTAATTAAAATGCCTTCCATCACAGTATGGTGCAAGATAGAAATTTTTACTTCATGAATTTTGTAAATAGGAGTCAAAAATACAGAACTGTAAACTTTTGAGTCCTTATTCTTTTATCAAACTTTCCTAAATTTCAGAAAATAAGAAGGAGAAATGTAATTATTCCAAGTAGTGCTTCATATTTGGTCCTTGAACTGTCTGTGGAAATGTTGAAATTAGATCATAGGTGCACTTTTAAAGCTGTCCTTACAGATAGTCTAATTAGCATTTTGTTTCCCACCATTTATTAATCATTAACAGTGAGTACTTTTAAATTTAAGAGATAGAATAACTGCACCAACTGGAAGATCTCCATAAAGCATGCTGCCAAGCGATGACTGGGATAGTCTGGATTTTAATATTTACCATTGGTTTAGGATGATTTAAATTTTCCAGAATTATTAATATGTCCCACCCTTTGGAGGAACACGAGCATGTAAAGGGAATGGGAATAGAGTCACACTTAGTTTTGTGGTTTGGCACCCACAGTGACTAACTCTGCTCGTTTTAATAATCTCAAAAGCATCCCAAATCCATGTGATTTTACTGCAAAAAAGTCACCAAAGTGGAGAAGTTTTTCTAGAACTGTTTCTGTCCTTCCTCTCCCCGTAAAAGGCTGTGACGTGTTCTTGTTAAACATTTATACTTTGTAGAAAAAACAGCATTCAATAATATAAGAAAAATCAGAACAAATAAAAGGAGTAATAAAAAAACAAACATGAGCATTTTAAAGGCTGGTTGCACTTCCTCCCTACTGACACACATTAAAACTGTAATACCAGAAATTATTGATTGATGCAAGCACAAATATGTTCTAATTTGTGTCTGGAGACGTTGATGATTCTTCTTTTGGTTTTCAGATATTGCAGTTGCTGCACCATATGGTGGAGAGGACAAGAGAGGACTTGTGTATATCTACAATGGAGGAGCCAGTGGTTTGAATGCCATCCCATCCCAGGTCCTGGAAGGGCAGTGGGCCGCTCGCACTATGCCCCCCAGCTTTGGGTACTCACTGAAAGGAGCCACAGACGTGGACAAAAATGGATATCCAGGTCCTCTGCTCCAAGTGGCACTTTGCAATAACTCAGTAGCAGCCCCACCCTTGAGAAACAGCATGATTCACAAAGCAAGTTGTAATGTGTAATGTGTCTCCTCTCTTTCTAGACTTGATTGTTGGAGCCTTTGGTGTTGACACAGCTGTTCTGTACAGGTAAGGGTCCCTCTGTGCTTGTACCTGAGTGAAAGCTCAGTGGAGTTCTGGAGCTACCAAAGAAAGCAGGATCAGGGAAGTCTGGAAATCTGCCACTCCACTGTCCAAATCTCTGGAGGTGAAAAAACACAATACTGCTTTTTTTAATGAGTAAAGCTATCTGCTGCTTAAAATTCATCTTTCTCAATAATATGTGGTAAGGAGAAAACATAAATAAGCTGTCTTCAAGGCTTTCTGAGTGACAGTTTTCTAGATTCTGACACAACAGCTGCAAGCTATTGCACTGCAATCCCGATAGTCTCATCCCAGCTTGCTCATTTTGGGAGAACATATTGGTCTGTGCTATAAGCAGATAGGACTTCCTCTTTACACAGTTGTCCATGTTGTGGCTGATGGAAATGAAAGGGCACAGAAAAGCTTCATCTAGTCAATGGTTACTTGTTTTTCTTGTGGTTTCACTAAATACTGTGTGTTTGGGTATGTTGCACAATATGATGGGGCGGGGGGCATTGTCAGACATGGTGTTGAGTGCTCTTCAAGAGGATGTTTTCTTTGCAGGGCAAGACCAGTTATTAGAGTAAATGCTGCCCTGGAAGTTAATCCAACCATTCTTAACCCAGAAAACAAAGCCTGTTCACTGGGAGATGTAAAAGTTTCTTGGTAAGCAGAATATCTATGTTTCTCCTTGAGGGGAGGGACATTTTGGGTTTTAATTTTGAAAGGTTTCAGGAAGTCTAGTCAGCTAATTAAAAAAAAAAAAAGACAAACACAGATATTTCTGAAAGAACATACAATACAAAATAAGAACTCTCTGACAGCAGTTGGAGGAGCAGCACTGTCTTTAGTAGATCCCAAACCTGCAGAGACTGCCAGGTATCCCTGTCGAGCAGAGTAAGGTCTTCCCAAGATGTCAGCACATCACATGGTGTTTGCAGTGTTTCACCCACTAACACACACAGTGGGGCAATGATCTGCTCTGTAAACTGATTTTGCTTTGGGTTCTCAGGCTATTATCCAAACCCACTTTCCCTTCCTACTGCTAACTTTCTTTTCAGGGTCAGTATCATAGCTTTAAAAATAAGACCCACTTGATTATAGAAATAAACATTCCAGTCCACAGGTGATTGTCCCCAGATGAGTCAAGACTCCAGAACTTTGCAATGTTAATAGATTATTGTTTCTCTTCCATCAATAGAAATAAACATTCCAGTCCACAGGTGATTGTCCCTAGATGAGTCAAGACTCCAAAGCTTTGCAGTGCCTGCAATTCTGTCTACTTGTTAATAGATTATAGTTTCTCTTCCATCGGTAGAAAATAGCTTTTGGGAATGAGCTAGAGTCTCAAAAAGAGGCTAAATCTGAACAGAAATAAATAGTGAGGAATTTTAGAAGAAAATTGGAGAAAAAGTTTGTGTAATTCATTTTTTTTTCCTCCCAAACAGCTTCAAAGTAAAGTTCTGCTTAAAGGCAGATGGCAAAGGAAAGCTCCCGAACTCACTCAGTAAGTTCTGCTCATTTAAAAATTGGACATCTTGTTGTATTGTTTGCAGAAAAAAATCACTGGTCATTGTTATTTTCATGACAAACAGCTGGGTGCCCTTTGCAGCCACTGCTGCCACTTGGGTGGCACGTACATCTATGGGACTCTTCAGCAGGCTTTTTTGGATGTAGTGGTGTAGAAGTCATTTTACCATATCTGAGACTTTAAACATATGTTCCACTCTGTGGTTAACCAGTCTTGGAAAGCCCTTTGTGTTTTACAGAATTTACAGTAACTCATTGAGGGGAATTTCAGACAAGAATATTCAAGTATGTGCATTGCCAGGCCTGAGAGATACAGACAAGCCACAGGGAACTTGTCACATCCTATTGAGATCATGAGTTTCTGATTGACAGCAGTGACTTTTTTCATCAGATTCTCAGATCAGAATCAGGAAAAGATTGTTTCAAACAAGTGTTTGTCTCCAAGAGATTTTTTAGTGTGACAAGCAGACTGCTGCAATCAGGTTTTGTCTACTCCTTGCAGAATCTTGTCCTTATTTTCTATGGCAAGTACAGAGGTGGTGTGATTTTGGAAGGTTCATATGAATATCTGTTATGTATTATAAGTTTTATTATCTATATCAGATATCTCAAGTAATTAGATTAGCAATAGTATTTAAAAATACAAATGTTATGTGCAAGATTTTTTTAAGTTTTCTAGGGGAAAAAATTCTAACTTTAGTTCTTGCAGTTCTACAGCAATTACAAATTACAAAAGTATCTGTGTTCTTAGATAGTTCCACTGTTTAAGGAAAAAGCAGGATCCAATTTAGGACAGCAGCAGTGCTTGAGAACTAATGTAGTGGCAGATTTTACATGGAAGGAATTGGAGGTTTTAAGAGGGGCAAGCACTAGGTTTGTGTTGTAGTTGAAATGAGTGGTCAGCTCAATTTCAATATCCCTTACCCAAACCCTTTGGCTTGGCCAGATTTCCAGGTGGAGCTGCTGCTGGACAAGCTGAAGCAGAAAGGAGCTATCAGGAGAGCTCTGTTTCTGCACAGCAGACAGCCCAGCCACTCCAAGAACATGACAATTACTAAGGGGGGCAAAATGAACTGCGAGGAACTTGACGCCTTTTTGAGGGTAAGTAGCCATTCATGTTTTAGGCAAATCATTTTTGGTGCTTTGTTGTGTTACAAGTTCATTGTGTTAGGTTTAAACAAAAAAAAAAAGAGCAAGAAAATATGCTAGAGAAATTTTGTTTTCAGTGGATGGACCTGAAATTACTAAAACCATACATCTGTCCTGAATTATTGCTGATTTCACAGCATGAATGGTGAACCTTTTTGTGGCTAAGGTCCTGGTCCCTAAATGCATTGGAAATTCAATTCAGAACGTTGTTCTGGACTTCCTGGATAAGTCATCCTGGCACCAAATTAGTTATAATTTCCAAGGAACATGAAAGTCCATAAGCAGAGGTTGTCCCCTCTACTTTAAAGGTTAAAAATTGAACAAAGATATGGACCTGCAACTGACAAGCCAAAATAAGCAAATAGCAGAGGAGATGGAGAATGTTGAAGTACTAAGCTTGCTTTTTCTCAGTCTTTCTGCATTCATCCCCACAAATGTAAACAGATGCTAACACAATTTAAAATTTTTAATCAGTAGAAGAAACATTGTGTGTAGCTGTGTAAGTTCTATGCTGCTCCGATTTATCTCTGAGCACTTATAAATCAAATATAAACAATACTTGCTTCCCACTAAAAAAAACCAAATAAAAATGCTAGCAATCATTAAGGATTCATGGAGGGTAGGTAATACTTTCTTTGGTCTGACTTTTGTGAGTGGGTTATATACAGAATTAGACATCTTAGACCTCAGGGTTAGTAAAGATTTTGCACATTTCCACCTGATATTTTCATAAAGAAAGTAATGACACATGACCTGTATGAAATGATCAAAAATGGGGTGTGAAACCTGTTTAAAACTATGGGTAATCAATAAGTTTCTGCCTATGGAAGATATCTTCTGAAATAAGATCCTGGAGTGAGCTGTGCTGGAGTCTGCAGTTTTCATTACTCTCAGCAATGAAGCAGAGTTTACACTGAGCAAATGTGTGGCAAATGTAAAGCTAAGAGATGGTTTGGAAGTTCTCTGAAAGGCAGGATCAATATTTGATAAGCAGAATGATTTCAAATGAACAGCATGAAAGTCAGCAACTTCCAAGTAATAATTTCAGAAAGGAAAAATGAGTGAAGGAAAAATTGTAAGTCCAAAGATGAGTATCTCTGAGGGATCTTAGATGCAGACTGAGGTTGGTCTGACAGGAAAGAGCAGAGCTGTGTAGCCTTTAGGTTCTACTGAATTTCCATGACTTAATATTTCTGCATGCTCCAGCTTTCCATGTTTTTAACAGGCATGTTCCCGCTAAAATTGTGCAGGTTTTCTGACAAGAGATTTTCTGCTTTGAAAAGAGCTCAGAAGTTTTAATGTTTTTGCATCTTTACTACATTTGAATTGTGATTGAAACTTTGGTTTCCTCAGGATGAATCTGAGTTCAGAGACAAGCTGACTCCCATTACTATTTTCATGGAATATCGTCTGGACTACAGAACAGCTGCAGATGCAACAGGATTGCACCCTATCCTCAACCAGTTCACTCCTGCTAACATGAGCAGACAGGTACACTGCTTACACAGCCTGGGATGAGAGGGCTCAGAACACCGGCTCATTTTAGGGAGAAAATCAGTTAGAGTATTCCTGGAAGTGTTAATATTGAATTTCATCCATATTCATCCATTCTCATACTGTGCTGCTCTATGGACATTATGTTTTCCCCTATAGTTCTATCAAGGTAATATAAATAGTTTTTCTATTTTTGCCCTTTTTTACAAATTTTTACACTTGTTTGTAAAGAGCATTAATCCCTTAATATGAAGGGATTATTCAAACTGTGGAAAGATGGTGAAGGTTAAGTCCTAGAACTGCAGTAGGGCAGGATGAGGCACAGTGTCCCCCACATATAAAAACTCATTTGTTCTCTTCTAAGACATGAAAACATTTCATAACCAGCTATGTGGAATTTTTTTAATGTGCTGGTGAAACAGTATTATTTTTAGAAAATGTATGCTAGAGCAGGTGAAAGAATTATTACAACAGTATGTGTTTGATTTTTCCATAGGCCCATATCCTGCTGGATTGTGGGGATGATAATATCTGCAAACCAAAGCTGGAGGTGTCAGTAGAAAGGTAAATACCAGACAAAAATACAAGGAAAAGCAATTTCCCTGCTTGAAGTCTAAAATTCAGTAGCTGGTAATACTTTTGTTTAAAGGATGTGTTGAAATAAGCAGGACTCCTCATTGTATGCAATCTAAACTCAAACTTATAATGAAAACCTATTTTCTGCTTTGGAACCTAATAAACATAGCATATAATGCACCACTCCCACTCCCACCCCAGCCTCCACTCTAAGCAGGCCATATTTATTTATTTATTTATTTGCTTAGCTAGACATGTATAGTGAGAACAAACAGAGTTGTATCTCTGTTCTGTTGTTTAATATCAGATAGACACATGAAATGTGGTTTTATCCAGCAAGGGGAGGAGTAGGACTCTATTGTCACATGTATGAAAAAAAATTGTTGGTATTGGCAGTATCTTTTATCAAACCTGGAAAAAAGAAACAAGTTTTCAGTGGTAGTTTGTTAATGCTTCTGAGTTTTTTTTTTTACTTTGTGTGGCCTAAAACCTTTCTTACTGTATTGTCTCATAATCTGGTTTTTAATGCATTGTAGCCATATGCACATTGTAGATAGGACACTTCATAAGCACTAATTCCTGCAAACACCTCAGTAACATTTGACATCAGTGCAGATACCCTGATGCATGCTTGTAGTTGGTGAAATGAAAATCCATTATTTGCTAAGATAATCTCTTTGTGTCTGGAACCAAAGGTATTGCACAGGTCTTGGCTCAGTTCTGTGCAGCTGAGCCTTCCCTTGAGTTTTGTTATAAATATGTGCTTGTACCTCTGCAAAGTTGGCCTGTAATCCAAAACGTGCACAGGGATTTAGCTGCCCATAATGATTTGTTCCTTGTGAGAAAAAGGTGTTTGTTTTTTTGTTTTGTGGTTTTACAGGCAAGATTTTTATAAAAGAACATGTAATGCTCGCTCTATTTGTTATTATAGACACAGGGGTTGTTAAAAGTACCTTAGGGCTCTCCTCACACTCCTGAAGCAAAGGCAGTGCCTCCAGATTTCTCCACTGTCTTTCTGAAATTTCAGAATGTCTCCTCATTTTCACGCTGTTTTCTTGCAGTGATCAGAAGCAGATCTACATTGGTGATGACAATCCCCTGACCCTGATTGTCAGTGCTCAGAACCAGGGGGAGGGAGCCTATGAAGCAGAACTCTTCGTCCTTGTTCCTCCCCAGGCAGATTTCATCGGGGTTGTTCGCAACAACGAGGTAAAATTCCAGCTGCTTTTGAGGGGTCGTATTTCAGCTGCTGCTCTGGAAATCTCTAGTGGCTTCTGTTATTTCAGTCTTAGGGCAAAGCACTGAAAAAGTGATCAGTTTTTTTTTCAAAGCCCCTCTCTTTTATAACCTTGAAATCAGGTCTGTCTTGTATCAAAAATATTTTTCTCCTTGGAGACTTCCATACTCAGATTTCATTTCATTTTATTATTTGACTGAGAAATTATATTAAAATTAATACAGCATATCTAGGATTTCTCTCCAGACTTTCATCCAGGTGCTCAGATGTAAAGAAGGACATTCCTTAGTGTTCCTTTCTGGTTTGTTGCAGGCTTTGGCCAGACTGTCATGTGCTTTTAAAACAGAGAATCAGACTCGCATGGTGGTTTGTGACCTGGGAAATCCCATGAAAGCAGGAACTAAGGTAAGGTTTGGTCCAACAGGTGTCTGGCAGCTCACCCAGGGGGCAGGTGGCATTTTCCTTAATCGCAGCAGGAAGTTTTCTCCCAGGAATTTAAGATTAGACCTGACATTTAGCTGCCCACGTTTGGTAGGTACAGAGGTAGTTGGATTTAACTTTTCAGCTAAATTAAAGGCTGGAAGGAGTGTTCATGAGTTTTGGGATGCAAATCAAAAGGAGTCATTCATTAAATACTGGAATTAATTGACTTTGGTCCCTCATGAATTTTTTATATTTATCTGATATGTATTTTTAGGACATAATCAAGAGCTAGCTCACAATATTTCTTTCTCTTAGTTAATCTCTTTTCTGCCTACTTTCATGAGAAAGGACAGAGTTTTGTCTAGTTGAAAGCTCTACAATTCCACCAAATGTAGCTGAAATTGGAAGAATTAAAAAAATTATTAGTGAGACAGATTTTAAGGTGATATGACATAGTAAGTCTTAGTCTTATTTTCTGAAGAAATGAAATGAAAATCAGTCACAATTATAAAAATTTCATGATGCTTTTCTTCCAAGAGCCATCTTGTATAGAGGAGTAAATGCTATTTCCAATGTCTTTTGAAGTATATCAACTGAACTGCACAGATGTTAAGGCAAATATGAATTGACCTAGACCAAACCTTGGAATTAACTTTGAATCATTAATGTGTTCCCTGCTCTTTAGATTACAATATTTTTTTCAACACCTGGGATGGCTCAGTTATGTGTAGAAATGGTTGAAGTAAGGGCGGGGAGCAAGATGCAATTTTTTATTTTGTATTTTATGGCATTGATGCCTTGGCTGTAATCTAAAGAGAGGGCAGTCCATTTCCAGCCTGGATGAACTGGACAACTTGAATTTACCAGTTCTGTGTGTTCTGTCATCACCAGGAGTCTCAAGCAATTTCACTGTAGTCTAATAGCATTGAGAAGTTTTTATTGTGTGTTTTATTGTGCTTCCAAGTGAACCACAGTGATTTTTTTTTCCCCAGCTCTTAGCTGGCCTGCGTTTCAGCGTGCACCAGCAGTCTGAGATGGACACCTCTGTCAAGTTTGACTTGCAGATCCGGAGGTATGGAAATCTCTGAGGATGAACCTCCTCTGGGAGAGGACACACACAGTAAATAGCCTGCAAACCACACACTATCACTCTGGCCTAATTCTCTTGTCTTTGCCTTGTAATGGCTTGAAAAATAACCACGCTGAGTTAGGTATCCTAAAATACAGGAGAAACAAAGAATATTTGTAGTGCGTATCATTGTGCTCTGCTGACACTTGTGGTGCCACAGAATGACTTTGGGTTTATAGCCCTCTTTTAAAACTGATGCTTGAACTCAGAATTCCTTCTGATGTAAAACCAGAACTTTATGTATTTAGAGGAGGAGAGTCTTTCAGGGCAGGCAGTGTATGGGGTAGTAGAGCAGAAGCAGCCTGCAGTGAACCATCACAGCAGCCAGCCCGAAAACTAAATGGAACAAAACAGTATTCCTGTTCCTGTTAGTTATCAGATGAGCACTGTCATATAAATATGATATATAAATCTGAATTTGTAACTTCTGGAGATGATATTTAAGGTTGGAGATGTGATCATTAGGAGTATCTTTACCCAATGCAGTTTTATGTTGCTTTTAATGGACAGTACAAATACAGCTGGTTTGTTTTTTCCCTCTGGTGGACCAAAACCACTTTTTTTTTCCATTTAGGGCTTTAGTTTTTTATTGTAGTAAATAAATTAATCTCATCCACATATGCATTTGTCATCTGTGGGAATTAGGAAAGATTAAAGCTGCCATTCTATTTTAATGATGGAGTGTTTTCCCATACCAGTCAAAGGCCTTGGTACATGAATTATCTCTTTGATCTCCCATTGCTGTGTGTTGAGTTTTGCCCTTCTCCATCAGCTGGTAAGGTGTGCCAGTGGCATGGGACTGCTCTCTGCAGAAAGTGATCTACTCTGAGGTGTCTGTCACCTTCCTTAGGCTAGCAGCAGTCACAGCTGCTGTCACAGGGTCAGAAATTGCTCAAGTCATGCTTGTCTCCTGATGGAAGAGAAGGGAAGTTCCTGTAGTGTTTCAGGCCTTTTATGGAAGACAATTCCTTCCATGGCTCGTGGGTGCAAGAAGGGTGAGCAGTGGTGCCATGGAGCACAGTAATCACAGCTCACAGTGACAGGCATCACCAGGGGATTAGCTGGGACAGCTTTTAAGGATCACACTGCTCGTCTTAAACTCACAAAGCTACATCTCCAGTGCTGGCTCAGCTCCTAGCAGAGCAGGTCCAGTCTCTGAAAGAGTGAGGTATTTACAGGTCAGGAGGAGAGCAGGTGTTTGTTGATTACAGCAGCAGTAAAGCATGATTAGAAGATTCAGGAGTCTTTGTAAAGGAAAATGTTTGGTTAGGGGGACAGAATAATGAGATGTGTTGAAGGACATCAAGATTCTGCTCCCAGCACCACTTTGAGGGGAGATTGTCCCTTGTATTTTCTCACATGTCAGCTGTAGAGCAGAGTCAGCATTAACTCTGTGTCCTTCACCAACCTCTCCCTGCTGGGGCTCCCCCAGACTCTGCAGAGGGTGGGGCTCCATGCATTTAGGTGACAACTTGCTGCACTCTGGTCCTTAGCTTTTAGCAATTGTGCTTTCCCACAGGGGCTCAGAGTCATCCTGTGCTAAATACAATTACTTTCAACTGTGGAGATTTCTTTTAATTAAACACTTTCCTTATTTCATTTAAGAATTTACCTTTTATTTTCCCTGCAGTTCCAACCTGTATGACAACCTGAGCCCAGTAGCATATTATCAGGCTGACCTTGCTATTTCAGCAGCTGTTGAAATTAGAGGGTAAGCAATACTATTTTAATAAACACTTTTAAGGAGCTTTACACATTTACGTCTTTATGTTCACTGAACTTCCTTTCAGGTCTGCATAAGTTTTCAGGAAGGTTTAGGGAATTTTTAATCAAAAAGACAGTAGTATTTTCTCTAGCCAGCCTTTGGACTTTTGGATCTTAAATAATTCTAAATAATTACAAAGTTTAGTCCAAAAAGGAATACTGTGCCTCCATTACTAGAGATATTTTTTAGAAGAAGAAAAAAATCACCCCTATTGTTTGCAGTTTTACATTCTGCAGGTCACTTTTCTCCTCCACAAACTGACTGGGGTTTTATCTGAAAACCCCTGGAACCAAAGTTGAAGATTCTATGGAATTTAAGTTTGTAATGTCCTCACCTTCAGTCTTAAGCATAGTATTAATATGTAATGACTTGGTTGCTCCATCACCACTACTTCCCACCTAAAAGTCCTCTTGCTTAACCAGTTAACTTGGATTCCTGAGTCATAATTGTTTAAATTTTCCACTACATTCATTATTGTGAGGAATTTCTTCAGTATCTGAGAGGTGGGGGATGGCACACTGGAAAAGCATGATTGGTATCTTCACTGCTTTCAGGGCTGAATTACTCTTAGGACTGTACTGCTAAGGCTGTACAGCATCAATATTTCTCATTATCACAATATTTCACACTGGTTTTGTTTGGATGTGTCCTTTATATTTTTTTGTATTTTTTTACCATAGAGAACAGAACTGAACATTTAGTATTTAAACCACTTCTGTTCTTTCAGGATTTATATAGAGATGAAGAAGTGCAGATTGTATTTTAAGCATGCTGATTTGTTTTCCTTTAGATGTCCTAGAGAATCACATTTATTTTTTCATGCTTGCTAATAACAACTCCTTTGCTCTGCTGTTTAGTGTGTCGTCCCCTGATCACATATTCCTTCCTATTGCAAACTGGCAGCCAAAGGAGAATCCTGAAACAGAAGATGATATTGGGCCTCTAGTTCAGCACATCTATGAGGTGTGGAATTACTGCTGATTTCTGTGACATGGTTCTGTGATAAAGGAAAATAAATCTTTCGGTGTAGCTTTTCTCTGGAGTAAATTATGATTTTGTTTTTCTTTTGTCATGCATGTATGGAGAGATTTTATTTTTTTAATGCTGGGCCAATTACTGGTATATCCAAGAAGGGTTGGAATGCCTGCAATTAGTGTGACAGGGGTTGATTACCTACATAACTGCACATATTTTATTTTATTGCCTTTTGAAATCTAGATGAAACATTTGAAGTAATGTGAGCTCAGGCAGTGGCTTAAGGCTGTTAATTATTGTACTCTATCTGTTCTGAATCACTACCCTGAAGTCTTTTGCTGTGGAAAAAAAAATATTTACAATTTCCTTTAAAGAAACATAACAGATTTAATCTAGATTTGTAATTAAGCAAAACTTACCAAGAGAGTTGTGTGAATATTAATAGTTAAAAGTTTTACCACTTTTAGGTAAAGTTTTGATGCTGTTGCCATAAGTGGCTGGGGGCAAGGGTAGTGGCAGTATCACATTTGTGTGGCTCAAATATAAAGTAACAGCTATATGCACATTAACAGAGAGAGTAGCATTATTTTTTTACATCTGTAAATTTTGTTTTCATAATCAGCTGAGAAACAATGGCCCAAGTGCATTCAGCAAGGTGATGATGACTCTGCAGTGGCCTTACAAATACAAAAACAACACGCTGCTGTACATTGTGCAGTATGAAATTGATGGTCCCATGAACTGCACTTCTGACATGGAAATCAACCCACTGAAAATTAAGGTAAGCAGGACTTTCCCTTTGGTGGAATGAAGTGTGTTTGGTTGTTTTGTAAGTTCTCAAAATAGCCAAATCCCTGAGAATATGACAAATTCAGATAGTTTTTCATCTGTGGCTCTGTGGCTGACAAATAAGTCTACACTTTTCCACACTACCTGTCAGTGTATATAGCAGGTGAAATATAAGGTAAACAGCAGCTGAAAATTGTCAACTCAAAGATCAGTTTGTCTTGTTTCTTTTTATTGTGGGGTTTTCTTCCTTTTTTTTTAAATTTATTTTTTTTTTTAACTTCAAGGCTGTCTATACAAGTTCTAAGTCCAAAGCAATAGAATTATAATGAATGTGGTCATGAACTAAAACCAGATGCTTCTGGACTCTTTATGTAAATTTTCTGGGTTTTGTTTCTTGGAAGAAAAGGTTATTATTTTTTTATATTACATTTATCTATGTATCCAAGTGGATGAATTCATCCAATTTGGATAAATTTATCAATTCATCCAAGGGTCACAAAGGACAATAGGGGCTAGCTATCACTGCCAGCAAAACATGGGATTTGCAGAGCAGAAGAAACTCCTTTTTCCTGGGCTGGACTAGGCAAAGAAACACCAGATAAAGCCCAGCAAGTTTAATTGAGTGTAAGAAGTTGACTTCTAGGATAGTTTAGAACAAGTAATAGAAGTCAGTGTGTTAGTTCAAGAAGAAGTCAGTGTATTAGTGTATATTAGTTCAAGAGCAAAAAAAGGACTGAGGGAAGATATTCAGTGTATAGAACAACAAAGAATGCTTGTGTATCTTTGATAACCAAAAAGAAACTTCAGTAAATATATAAGTACAAAGTTCCTGTGCTTCTGCTCTATGATTTGCAGTGATTTATTTTCAGCCAGGATCTGAAAAATAGCTAGGATAGAAAGAGAGAAACCTCCAGCTGGGTATTTTCTTGGCCTTAAGCTTGAAGTCTGCAATGTACTGAGTCATTGTTTGTGTTCCCTTGGTGTGTGCTAGATTTCTGCCTCCAAGGATGATGACAGGAATGAAACCCTTGGCAGGGAGGATCACCGTGAGCACCGCGTCAGCCGCCGGGATTTGGCTGCCGTGGAGGGGGACGTGCACACTCTGGTGAGCTCCCAGCACTGAGCTGCTGACACACCCACACCTACATCCTGTGCTGCTATGAGTCCTTAAAAGCAAATGTGAGGAAGATTTTTTCCTCCCTAAACGCGATTGGAAAAAATCTCTACTCGGAAATTAACATATTACCATATCACTGTCTGTGTAACTGCAAGCTGTAAGTAATTATCCAGTACTGGGGGTTATTTAATGTATTTTAATAGTTTGTGGTGCTTTGCCAGTGTAGGTATATGGGTGAAGTAATGCTATTAAGGACTTTTCAAATATTTTCATACTTGGAACATCCTTCCTATTTTTATACACAGGGCTGTGGAACTGCTGACTGTTTAAAGATTGTCTGTCAAGTTGGCCACCTGGAGAGGGGAAAGAGTGCAATATTGTATCTAAAATCACGCCTTTGGACCCAAACTTTCATGAATGTGAGTGACTGTGAATATTCTGTCACTGTTTCTGAAACATTAAAAGTGATTTTTGTACCCACATGCAATACTAACTTTGTTTTTCTTACGCAGAAAGAAAATCAGAATCATTCCTACTCTCTCAAATCATCTGCTTCCTTCAGTGTAATAGAGTTCCCTTATAAGAACCTTTCCTTTGAAGATATTCACAATTCTACAGTTGTAAGTCATGTGCATCCAGCCTGAGTTACCATATACAATCCATCAAAATCACTGCAAAGACAGTTATTGTTGAGTAACATTGTTATGGTTTCCTTTGAAGATATTCACAATTCTACAGTTGTAAGTCATGTGCATCCAGCCTGAGTTACCATATACAATCACATCAAAATCATTGCAAAGACAGTTATTGTTGAATAACATAGTTATGGCTTGGTATAATTTTAATTTTATCAGCTATTTGTTTCATGTATTTGTTTCAGTTGTACACATACAGTTGAGGGTAAAACAGACTGGAGTTGACAATATTTTTGGCTTGAAAGACTTAATTGAAAATGAAAAAAATTTTGGTGAAGAGTCCTCACGTTCCTGTTAAATGCCATTGTTGTTAGAGAAATATTTTACTTGAAATTTGTTTTTAACTGTAGTAGCACTTACAGCTTGAATAATGAACTTTTATTACATTATATAAAGCACTATATATGAACTTTATTTTTGTGAGGGTGGAACAAAAAGACCTTCTGTGCCTCAGGGGGTTTCAAAGGAGACAAGGTGCAAACAGAAAGGAAGATATAGGCCATTTATTTGGGCTGCCAAATTGAAAGTTTTTTGTAAGCAGTATAGGATTAAGAGATTTTAAGGAAAAGGCAGAAAATTATTGTGATTAACTCATTTCTGAATATGGTTTCTAATGCCTGTTATTAGCTGGGGCTTTTTTTCTCTCAAGCCTTGTGGACTTGATTTTTTGTTTCAAAGTATACTGCCTTTTAAGAAAAAACAAATTAAAAACCCAACAACAACCAAAAAAGGAAAAGCCCTTAATTATCTTTCTCTAATTCCAAAATATTTCCACATTCCTACAGTTTTACTGAAAATCATCAAGAATTACAGAAGACATGTTGCCATGTTGTCACTTACCGCAAAAAGGCAAACCCAAACAAAACAATCCCCAACCCCTACTATAATTTAACTTTAAAATCCTATTAAATTTGGGTCAGTGCAGATCAAGAATTACAGAAGACATGTTGCCATGTTGTCTGCAAAAAGGCAAACCCAGGCAAAACAATCCCCAACCCCCTACTATAATTTAACTTTAAAATCCTGTTAAATTTGGGTCAGTGAAATCTTTATGTCACCAAGAATCTATGGCTTTTAATTCATTCTGGAGAGAAAAAGTAATTTATACTGGATTAAGATTATAATCATGATAGGATTATGGTATACAAGATTTAAACCGCATGGATGAACTCAGCATGTCACTGTGGTGCAAAATGTGATTTATTGTGTTTTTCCATCAGGTTGCTACAAATATTACATGGGGCATTCAGCCACAGCCCATGCCTGTGCCAGTGTGGGTTATCATTTTGGCCGTCCTGGCAGGGTTACTGCTCCTGGCTGTTCTAGTGTTTGTCATGTACAGGGTAAGTTCTGTGTCTGGGGGGTTTTGTATCGTTTGCTTTTCCCTACTAGAGATGTATTATTTCATACAGTACTAGCACTTTGCAGAAATGCCTTGCTCCCCTAATCATCTGAATCAATTAAGTTTTTGGAATGACTGTAAAAGCTTTTCAGCTTTGTCAGGAAGAAGCTGAATAAAAGAGCATGTCTGTGATGGTGGTGAACCCAGTTTAAGTTTTCAACTGATATTTACTGTCTGTGGAGGACAAGAGTTAAAAACGAGAGTTAAAAGACAGCTTAATCAGTTAAGATCTGATCATGAAGGAAAGAAAAAGGATGTGTGTATGTTTTGCAAGTCACAATGCAATTTCTTAATTGTTCTCTGAACCACAGATGGGCTTTTTCAAACGAGTGAGGCCACCTCAGGAAGAACAAGAAAGAGAACAACTGCAACCGCATGAGAACGGGGAGGGAACATCAGAAGCCTAAGCAGAGTTTTATCTGTGAGACATTCTGAAATGTACACTTGCCTACATCTTGGTTACAAATATTGGCTTCCCCCTTCATGAGCAAACCCTCACCACTGCAGAGCTGCTGGTCTCAGAAGGCTTCAGCACGTGCAAAACAAGGGCAGAACACTTCAACCCCCCTCCTGCATTAATGCCGTTCCTGCCTGCCACTAACACATCTGCACTGACCCCGTGGGACACACTCCAGGGACAGCAGTGCTGGGATTCTGCTTGCTGGGACACAGGACACATCATCTTCTCTGGTTCATGTACTGACTTGACTCTCCATGAATTGCTATGCAGATTTGCCCTTGGAGCCAACAGCCTCCAGAGGTGCTGCCTGGATTCCGTGGTTGGTTTTAGTTGGAGTACACTACATTTCATTGCCTAGTTCTTGAAAGTCAGTTGCACAAAAAGAAAAACAATGAATGTAGCTTCTTTTACAGTACTGAAGAATGTTCTTTACCCATTAGCTCTGATGATGATTTTTTTTCTCCTGTTCAAGAAATAGGAAATATTCAGTGGAATCATTCACAGCTGACACCTGTTCCCCTGCCTGCTCAGTCATGTGTCTTGTGGTTTCCCTCTAGACCTTACTGTTGTCCACATCCTGGATCTCTTCTGTAGGGATTGAGCCTGCAAGCACCAAGTGAGGGATAGAAATCTGGGGCTGATGTACTTTCTGTGGGACTTGGGGAAAAGATTCAGGGCAAGATCCCAAGACTCTGCTGTGTATTTCCACAGTGCAGGATCCAGCTGTTCCACACAGCTCTTGGCACCATGGATGCATTCATGCCCTGCCAGGGACAAGGTGCTGGGCTGTGTCTGCCAGCAGACATGTCTGAGAAAACCCTTGATGTCCACAAGTCAAACCTGTGCAGGGTTTGAGGTGAATGCTGTAAATTAGTTGGATTGTATTTTGGTTTCTAGCAGAACACTGTGTGACACAGGTTACCTGGTGCACTGTAGGGAAGCTGTTAATCCTCACTTTCCCTGCTTGACCATGCCCAGGTGCAGGATGGAGTGACACAGGGGCTGTTCAGACCAGTCTCTCTGCCAGCCACATCCTTGGATCTGGATTACACCTGCACTTTAGCCACACTCACACCTCCCTCACCTCCTGTGCTCAGAGAACAGGGAGTCAAGTGAGGAAAGGAAGAGATGGCAGTGCACAAGGGTTCAAAAAGTAAAGGTTGATTTGGCTTGTTTCACTTCACTCATTCATTGTTTCATTGGCCTGTTTAATTTGATTCATTCATTGTTTCAGGCCCTGCATGTTTCATTGCACAAGGCATTTCATTGCACAAGACATTTCATTATGTTCAATGCATTTCATTACCAGAAAAGACACTAAGAATTTTGATTCATTGCTGTTTTTTGAACATACCAAAAGGTCAGTGGTTTAAAACCACAGTTTTGCATCACTCTCAGCTTATTTCCCACACTGTTGGTGTAGTATAGAAAGCTTCTTACACTTTTGAGACAAGAGCATTGTCTATGCATTTCAGTGGACAAGGAACTGCAGAGCAGGAGGTTGTTCAGCTTGCAACCACAGGCTGCACAGATCCTACAGAGGACATACCTGAACCATTACTAAGGTGCCTTCTATGAGATGTATTTATTCTCTTTTCCAAAAAGAGAATAAATTACACTATAAACTCTCTGTGTGCAGCCAGGTACACAAAGGAAGGCTTCCACTGTACTTACACCAGTGAGATTTCTATGTAGACAAATTCTTGAAAGGGCAAAAACTCTGGTTTGGTTTTGTACCTTGGGGTTTTTGTCCATAGTGCATCTCCCCCATAAATACAGCAGTGCCCACTAAACCCAGAATTTTCTGAAATGAGCAGTTTGTTTCAACTCTGATTTCTGCATCCTTTCAGAGGTTTAAAATCCACCAATGACTTTTGTTGTTGAGTCCATTCTTACTTGCTGATCCATGATGGCATCTGAGTCCTTCAGGGACAGAGCACTGAGGCTGGGGGGGCCAGTATGTTCACCAGATATAGGCTTGCATATTTATCCATTTACATGGGTTGGGTTTAGACTGTTTGTTTAGATAAAATTAGTTTACACAAAAGGGTATAGGGCTATGATTCCGCTTTCGCTGAACTTTCAAGGTCTTCAGTGTGGCCAATGTTTGCTTTTGTCTTTATTTTTAGTATTGTTACTAGTAATGGAGTAGAGAATCAGGGGTCAGGCTTTGATCCTGGCCTCAAAATGTGACTTTGGTAGAGCTGCATTTTCAGTTCCTTACACGGGCTTGTGGTTCTCACGCTGTGCCAGCTGATGATCTGCGTGCAAGGAGATTGGTTTTACTCAGTCTTAATCTCAGTAGGGTAAGAGGTTTAAGAGACTGCCAGACAGATTATAGCTCTAATTCCTGCGTGTGTGCTTTCATTACATGTACACTCCGTGGTGACTTGAAATTTATTAGACTACTTGCATGTGTAGGCTTTATTAGGAGGTGAAAAAGAGTATTTAAATAAAAAGCATGGTCAAGATCCCTCCTGCTCACATGGGATAGCATTGCTAATGTCAGTGCTAACTGCATCCTAATTTTACTGGAAACACTCTTTGCTGATTTTCAGGATAAGAAGGTACATTTTATTGGTACAACTACTGTAGCTATAGAAAGTATCTTCCATTTTTGAAGTTACATAAAGACTTATTTAAGTGATTTTTATTTCTTGCCTTCTGCTGGAGAATGAGAACAAATAGTTGCTTCTTCCTTGTCCATTAATTTCCAGTTAGGTTAAAAAGACCACAGTAGCATATGTAAATGGAGTATACAGGTTACTTAGTGAGCATAGATGTAACACCTCAAATTCAATTTAAAGTAGAATTTGTGTTTCAGGGAGATTCCAAACTGGAAATTTTCCTGAATGGGGGTGCAGGAAACTTTTGATAGTGTGTTCTAGATTTAGCAATAAGATTCCAAATTATGTATGTACTTGTGTCAATATAAATTTTATACTGACTTAAAAGGCATTGATGTATTCTTACAGCAAGTACTGTAGAATGATCTCAAAGCTTTTAGAGAAACTTTAGAAAAGGTATTTTAGAATGAAATTAATGCCTTTGAGTCAAAATTGGTGTGCACATGGTGCATACTGGAAGCATTTAAAAAATACAAGTACATTAACAGAGAATTAGCCTTCTTTTGAGAGCTATGCTTCAGGAGCAGATTTTTTATGAATATAAAATCAACAGCTATGTAATTATTTAGACAATAAAAACATTTTTAAAGAGCTATATCTTTTATAATGAAATATGAAATTATGTAAGTACTTCAGTTTACAATTAATGCAGCATCTCATGATCAATATTGAAAAGTGATTTATATTACAGAATGCATCTTATCTATTGCTATATTTGACAATATTTAGAAAATGTAAAGCAAGGAACCTAATTTATAGGTTTTCATTTCTTTCAAGAAACTATGAAATTTTGGAAATAGCTTTTGTTTAAGCATGACTGTAAAGTCAAATATGGGCTATATTTATCAATGTAATTTGAAATCTTTGAGTAAGTTTGCTGACATTGTTTGCCAAGTTGTCAGGGTTTTTTCTGTTTTAAATCTTGATCTACACATTGATTTCCAATTCACATAATGCTTGTGGAAACTTTCTAAAGTTTACTCCGTGTGCTCTTTCTTTATAAAACATTTATTCCAAGCAAAGGTATTAAATATTTAGTTGTTTCTAAACTTGAGACCACACTTAAATAGTCTTAAAGGGTATTTTGAAAATGTTTTAGCTATAATCGGCATGTTCTTGGTGATGTGAAGGAATCATGCTGCACTTAGATTTTTGCAGCATTTGGGTTTGTTGTTGGTTACCCTGACAAAGCCCTGCAGTATTTTTTCCTGCACCCTCCCAAACAGCCTCAGAGCAGCATTACCCTGGTGAAAACCAGTTTTTGTCTTTGGTCCAGACTAACGTGGCCCTTTGAACAGGATTCTTTGTGTCCAATGCTGCTGGCTGTTAATGAGTTGGGGAAAAAAGTGTTTTAATACAGAAAAACGGGAATCCAAAAGATAGAAAAGGTGATGGCAGGGCCCAGATGAGATGATTTTGGTTTGTTTCTGAGGCGTGCAGAGCTGTCCGTGCCCCGTTGTCACAGCCTGACTCCACAGCTGGGATCATGGCTATTGCTGAGCTCTGCTGGCTCCTGTGGGATCTGAACTCCTTGGTACTGAGTCTTCAGCCTCCAGCGCCCAGGTGCAACATGCCATGGTCTGACCTGGTTCACTGCCAAGTCCTCTGCCCAGCTTTGCTGGCCTGAGAAGGGCCGTGGTGTTTTTGGTTTTGTGTGAGGACATGACAAAGCCAGCGTGCTCACTGGAGGTGATGAATTAATGCTGTTGGGAGTCTTTGATCACCCACATTGGGTGAAGCTTGGTGTGTATTCTAAAGTCTACCCACTACTAACTCCTGAGTTCTTCAGAACTGGTACCACCTTCTTGAAGGCCATTGTGGAAAATTTGACTAGAGACTATAGAAGAATGGGGTTGAGTCTGTAGTACTACTGCTGTTTCGTGTGATTGTGGTATTTAGGTCTATTTTTTCCCAATGTGTACAATTTTAACATAGCACAGGAAATCTAACCTTTCATGCCATGACTTTCTCCAGATGTGCTGCATTAAAGGTGAATAATTTGACCCTTGGCTTTTGCAAAGTAATGGAAGATTTCATGCAGCATTTGCATCTTAGAAAATCCTTGTACGGGTTTTGCTTTTCTAGTCCATGAAGGAAACCTGTATTTGCTATGATACAAATAGGCTGAAAATGTAACATTTTATTTCTTCATAATGGATTTTTTTTGCCTTTTTCTTGTGTTTGCTCGTGCATTAAATCAGTAGAGCATTATTTGCACAAGCAGAAAATTAACATACTAACGAGAGTCCTGCGTTTTATGGTTTTTTGTCATGCAGTAAATACTTGCAGCAAAAATGGGAATATTTTAAGTTACTATGAACTTTTTTCAAAGGTCTTCGGTACATTTAAGGAAAGCAATATACATTTGAAGTCACCTTATTTTGTATTAAATTATAAATTGTGCAGAGAAGTGGGTATTGTGGCACAGTAATTTTGTACTGATATGAAATATATAGCTATTATAGCTATGGTTTGCTTTTTAACTCATTCTTTTCATCCTAATGCAAATTTGAGTGTTTTTATTAGGTTGTATTTTTCTATGTATATATACAATTTCAAAATACTATGATTGGGTAAACCGAAAAATGTAATTATTGATTTGATTCTGATATTTAGAATTTTGGAATAAAATACCTCTTAATCAACAGAAATTCTGCTGTAGGCTTGGTTTTAGGGTTTTTTTTTTCCCTTAGGTGTATTTTTTAAAATGTATTTAATTCACCAGAAAATCTTTCACAGTATATGTTTTTACTCCACAATTATGTGCTCAGTTCAAAAACCTTACATTTACACAGCTTTTATGTTTGCACCTCAAGTGGCATCTTCAGTCAAAAAATCTTGTAATCACAAGCAAGAAAAATTATTTAGTCGCAGACTAGAAAACCATAAAACTGATATCCAACAGAAATTTCTATATACCAGAAATAAATATTTTAGACTTTATGGCTTCCACATTGCTGTAGAAAATGGTGACATCTTGTCCTCAGGTTAGGAAAATTCTCAGGGAGCTGGAGTTTCTTTCCTTGTTGTTTTAGTCTAATTTTATCTGAGTGTTACATTTTTTCTCATTACCAGTCATGCTCACCTGTGTGAGTGGGTGACAGCAATATTTTGTGTCACAATAAAGGCATATGTGAGTGTGTTTTATTGCTAAAACAAACAGTGAGTAGTAAATGTGATTGTGGACACTTCAGGAAAAACTCCAAACTAGTGAGCCCCTGGCTTGCTAGTAGAGAATTTGTTAACCTAAAGAGAAGAGTAATAAAGGAGACAGAAAAGATGAAAATCTGAAATTTGTGGTTTAATTAACAACTTCCACAGATGTCACAGTAGCTGCACCTCATGTAAGAAACACGACAGCAGCAGCCCAAACATGGCTTTTAACCCATGTTCAATACACCCTGCAGCCAGCACACCCTAGTCCCTGTAAAATCAGATACCTGCACTTGGATAGCAGCACAGGGATCACTGCACCTGCCTAGCAGCTCCAAATTAATCTATTGTTATTCAGAAATTAGGGACAACAGTTGTGTCATTACAGGAACAAGGGAACTGAGTGGTTTTCAAATTCCCACCTTAGGGAATTGTAGCCACCTCAGGTAAGATGGTGGCCCGTGTCTGGAGGTAATTTGCATTTACACCACTCCACTTTGACTCTCTGCACACCTGAATGATGTGGGTTTTGATCATTAGTTAGTTTGTAAATGAATTGCTAATACATTAATACTTTATTGCATTAATTACATATTAATGTACTGACATTAATATTTTTAAATTGCCGGTTCAGGCATTCTCAAGAACATTGTGAACAATACTTTGAAAAAGTATTTACAGGAGCTTCTCATCAACAGATTGTCTGAGCTACATAAAGAATTGAGGTTAGTGCTGTCAGCTGCCCATCTTCTCACAAGGTATTTCACCTAGAACCAATCTGTCCTGCTGCATCTTCCTGACAAACCTCCCGAAAGCTGAATGATTACCCCTCTTGACAAACACAGAGGACATGCTAAAACTAGGTTTACAGGACACAAAAGCACAACACACACCTTGAAAATGTGAGAAGAATACTGACAGTAAAATACCCCATTGCAATTTATATGATTTTAATTTTACATGCAGACCAGGCCTGTGTGGTACTGCTTTTGAGAGTTTTGCAGAGCCCACATAGACTGACATTTCTGTGTCATCTGTGCACACATTTTCAGCCCTGGCAGAACAGCAGATGCCTGTTCAGTGGTTGATGGCAATGGCTGTAATTTGTTTACAGTTTGAAGAGTGTGTAGCAAAATTTAAAGACTGCAGGAGTTACTGCTGGACACAGTTCCTCAAGAAAATACTCAGGTAGTTGAAACTAATTACTGCAAACCTCCATTTCTTTAAAGAAAATTTGTTTAAGAAGAAAATCCTGATTGTGATTATATTTTTTCTGAAATGAATGTTATTGTGTACCCTAATTTTTCTTAGTAATTAATCTAAATATACTACAGACAATTAATTTCCACATGTTATTCCCCATTTGGAGCCATTTTCAAGAAAGCTTTTATCACACATTTTCCCCCCAGAACTTTATAAATGAATAATTGTGCATATTCATATCATCAACATTAATTTAAAATGTTCCAGCTGCCAAGTTGGTTCAACTATTCCTCTCCAAATAATTTATATCTTGTTAAAAGCTCATGTCTGCAAACATTTGGGAATGGATTTGTGACCTGCCACACCCTCAGTCACCAGACAAATTCCTGAACAAAGGAAGCTCAGAGCAGCAGCAGCAGCAGCAAGTTTCCTGTAGGTTCATTTTTTCCACCTGGGACCACACACAGTTGCAGAGAATCCAAAATTAATTCAGCTCTGAGAGTGGCTGTGCAGGAACAGCCACTTTTCCTTCGCAGTGCCCACATAAAAGGTTGAAATAGGAAGCTGGGTGAGAGGATGTTAATTAAGCAAATAGGCACTGAGCATGTCTGCTGAACTAAAAAGAGAATTTATTTTTTCCTTATGAGCTCCTGGAGGAGTTTCACATCAAATAAATGATTGTTTTATTTGTCTGGTTTTTGTGGTTCTTTGCTTTCTTTCAAGAAAGGTCCTGTCAAATGAAATCAGGTTTTCAAACGTTTTTTTTGGTGTTGATGTGAAGAAAAAAGAGATTGACAATAAAAATAATACTGAGAAGTACCTGCTGAGGAGGATGTGCATTTCCCACTGCAGCATTACCCTACGAGCAGGGACTGTTCCAAAATGGTGCCAATGGACTGTCAGCAACTGCAATAAAAGCAAGTTTTATTTTCTATGTCCAAAATGTATTTCAAGTCATTGTTAATGGCAGTGAAATAATTACATTGGACTGTATAGAATGACTGGAAACATAAGGAAAAATATATTTTCTTTGGATTTTATAAGAGATATGTTGAAAATATGCACAGCAACCTGTCAGTTCAGGCCAAATTTATACCCTGTTTTATACCCTGCTATAGTTTGTGACTCTATTCCTCTGTTTCTCTTTCAATGAAGAAGTGTTCTGCAATCGGAAAATAACAAGATTTGGCCTAGTATGTCATAGTGTCTAAAATAAACCTTTTATTTGACTGATCTTTGTTTGTTAAAAGGCAATTCAAGTAATTTTATACTTTCCAAAGAAGTTTCTATTCACTATTTCGACATACACTGGAGATTTAGTGTCAGCCCATTCTGTAAGTGCTCACAGAGGAGGGGATGTTGGCCTCCCTGGAATCGCGGCATGGGCTCCTTCATCCCCACCAGTGTGAGACCCCTGTGGGGTGATCCCAGTGTGTGCTCAGCCCCCAGGCACACAGGTGGCTGCCTGCTCTGGGGCAGTTTGGTTTGTCTGGATGTGCTGCCTTTCCTCGGGTTTTGGGGTTTTTCCAGCCTTATCTGCTGCAAACACCTGCAGTGGTTTTTCCATTATCCCGCCCTGGGCTGTGTGGATACACCCAGCTCCTCAGCCCCTCCTCATCAGGCTTGTGCTCCAGTGACAGCCTTGAAAATGACATCACATCTCCTAAAGCCTTGATCCTACACACAGCCACCTCTCTGCCTCACGTGCATGTTCATTCCTATCAGCAGCTCCTGATACCCAACATCGCGCTGATCAGCAATATAGAGAATAAAAATTATTAGCTCTCCCGAACGCATTTTTTTAGAATTAAGGATGCACATAAGTAAAATTGGAATGCGTATACACGTGTTTGTGAGGCCAGAGAAGGGGAAGGGTCTGGAGCACCGGTGGAATGAGGAGCGGCTGAGGGAGCCGGGGGTGTTTGTTCTGGAGAAAAGGCGGCCCAGGGGAGACCTCACTGCTCCCTGCAGCTCCCTGAAGGCACGGAGCAGCCAGATGGGCTCTGCTCCCGAGCAATCAGTGACAGGGCGAGAGGACACAGCCTTAAGCTGTGCCAGGGGAGGTTTAGGCTGGACATGGGAGTTTTCTCACAGAAAGGGCGATCAGACACCGGAGAGGTGGCGGAGTCACCATCCCTGCCGGTGCTGCAGCAAAGCCTGGAGGTGGCAGGATCAGCTTGGCACGGTGCTCTTGGGTCACAGGCGGGACTCGGTGGCCTCGAAGGCCTTTCCCAGCCCAGCGGGTTCCGTGGTTCTGTGCTTCCCACAGCGGGGGCGATGCTGCGGCTGCCCCGGGCACTGCAGCGGGGGCGATGCGAGCGCGGAGCGGCGACATCCCGGGCACCTGGGGGTGACAGGCGACAGAGCTTGGCACGGTGCTCTTGGGTCACAGGCGGGACTCGGTGGCCTCGAAGGCCTTTCCCAGCCCAGCGGGTTCTGTGCTTCCCACATCGGGGGCGATGCTGCGGCTGCCCCGGGCACTGCAGCGGGGGCGATGCGAGCGCGGAGCGGCGACATCCCGGGCACCGGGGGGAGGTGGCCCCGCTCGGCCCCGCCCCAGCCCCGCCCCGGCACGTCCGTGGGCGGGCGGGCCAGCGCTGCGGCCGCCGCAGAGCCGCGGGTGCGGAGCGCTGCGCCGGCCTCCCGCAATATGCCTCCGCTGCCCCCGGGCTGCTCGCCATGCCGGGCACCTGCGGGCGCCTCTCCGCGCTGCTCCCGGGGCTGGCGGCCGCGCTGCTGCCGATGCTGATGGTGATGATGATGGTGATGATGATGGGGCGGCCGACCGCCGCCGCCGCCAGCCGCCCGCAGCAGCAGCAGCGAGCGGCGCTGCCCGGGGGCGCCCCCGCCGCGGCATCAGGTACCGAACCTTCATCTTCATCAGGTACCGAACCCTCACCTTCATCCGGTACCGACTTCATTCCTGCATCAGGTACCGACTTCATAACGGCATCCGGTACCGAACCCTCCCCTGCTGCCGGTACCGACTTCATTCCTGCATCAGGTACCGACTTCATAACGGCATCCGGTACCGAACCCTCCCCTGCATCCGGTACCGACCCTATCCTTGCATCAGGCGCGCCCGGGGAGCCCCAAAATCGCTCCAGCGGTGGGGCTGGAGCGCGATCCAGGGATCCCGGGGGTGTGAGTGAGTGCAGCCGGCACCGACCCGCACCCCGGGCCACCCAAGGCTGGCCTTGGCTGGCGGGGCTCCAGGGATTCCTGCTGGCTGGCAGGAATCGCCACAGGGAGATAGCCGAGCGTCCGCGGAATGGAAATGTGTATGTATGTATGT